TATATATATATATATATATATATATATATATATATGTGGTTGTTAAGAGAAACAAAGAAATATCCAAGAGAAATAAAGAAATATCTTAAATTCTTTTGGATATACTGTTTGCTTTTATGTTTTATTCTCATTTTATATTTTTTAATAAGTATCATAGGAATTTGAGTATGCTGGATATTAGCATTCACTACAAGGAGAGAGCAGCATTGTCTTGGTTGAATCCCACAAAGAAAGTCAAAAGGAGACAGCAAGTGGTTATTTGGCTATTGAGCCAAATCTGTTTCTAAAAATTAAGCTGGTCTTAATTTTCTGATAATTACCAGATACTGCTCTCTGGTCCCATTTTATTTTGCATGTGCGGCTAGAGGTCCGCCTACTGATGTGAGGACAATAACAACAGACAGCAGTGATTAGAAGGAAGAGACCAGTAATGATAGAAGGACCAATGGTAGCTTTGGAGGTCAAATGGGGCTTTGACAATATGACGTTTGGGAAAACCAAGTGCTAGGAATACTCAAGAGAGAACATTCAGAAATTTAACATTATTTCTCTGGAGGCACTCATTCATCTATGCGAAGAAATTTAGAAGACCGCTACCTGGAAAACTGAGTGGAAGAGAACCATATGTGTGCCCATTTCAAAGAGAAGTCATCCAGTGGAAATCATTGGACAATATCATTGATATCACATGCAGATAAAATTTTGCTACTGATAATTAAGAAATTGTTACAAGAGTACATTGACAGAGAAGCTGGTTTTGGAATGAGGGATATCACTGCTGACGTCATATGGATCTTGGCTGAAAGCAGAGAATACTAGGAAAGATGTTTACCTGTGCTTTATTTACTACACAATGGCTTTTGATTGCATGGATCATGACAAGCTATGGACAACACTGCAGAAAATGAGTATTCCAGAACACAATTGTGCTCATAAGGAGTCTGTACCTAGACCAAGAGGTAGTCATTCAAACAGACGAAGGGAACACCGAATGGTTTAAAATTAGGAAAGGTGTGTGCCAGGGTTGTATTTTTCACCATACTTATTTGATATATATGCTGCGTAAATAATTTGAGAACCTGGATTATATGAAGAAGAATGTGACATAAGGACTGGAGGAAGATTCATTAACAACCTGTGACATGCAGATGATACAACCTTGCTTACTGAAAGCGATGAGGATTTAAAATACTGATGACGATGAAAAACCACAGCCTTCGGTATGGGTTGCAACTCAATGTGAAGAAAACAAAAATCCTTGCTACTGGAACAATAAATAATAATATAAATGAAAAAAAGACTGAAGTTGTCAAAGACATCTATTTGCTTGGATCAACCATCAAGACTCATGGAAGCAGCAGTCAAGAAATCAAATGATGTAGGCAAATCTGCTGCACAAGACCTCTTTATAATATTCATCATCAAAGATGCCAGTTTGAGGACTAAGCCACAGCTAACCCAAACAACGGTATTTTCAATTTGAACGATACTGTTCAAATTCTCATATGCATGTGAAAGTTGGACACTGAATAAAGAAAACCATAGAAGAACTGATGCATTTGAATTATGGTGTTGGAGGAGAGTATTAAAAATACCGTAGACTGCCAAAAGAACAAACAATCTGTGTTGGAAGAAGCCAGATGGCCAGACTTCATCCCTCATACTTCAGACATATCAGGAGGGACTAGACCCTGGAGAGGAACATCATGCTTGATAATGTGAAGGATCAGAGAAAAAGAGGAAGACCCCCAATGAGATGGATTTGCACAGTGGCAGCAGCAATGGGCTCAAGTGTAACAATGATTGTGAGGTTGTGCAGGACTAGGCAGTGTTTCGTTCTGTTGTGCATAAGGTCACTATGAGTTGGTACTGACGCCACGGCACCTGCACCACCACCAAAAACGAATTTCATAGCTCTGTAATCATATATCATTAGAATATGTATATGAAACTTGACCAATTTATATGCAATTTAACAAATACTTCCTAATTGTTTCTATGTGCCCAGCACTGTGCTAGGTGGTAGGGAAAAATACAGATAAAACCGTAGCCAGTATATATGCCAGTGGTGGTGGTGTTAGTTGAAACTGAGTAGGCTCTGCTCCTTTGACAATTTAAAGCCTCGGAAATCCATAAAAGGTTGCTATGAGTTGGAACCAAGTCCATAGCACTTAGCAACAACAACAAACTCTTGTTCATGGCAACACTGCATATAACAGAATGGAATGGTACCAGGTCCTGAGCTACCTTCATGGTTGCTGATATGTCTGAGTCTACTGTTGCACCGTCTAACTTAGGGTTTCATCTTCTAGCAATATATCCTGCTGTGATCCATAGTGGAAATCGACCGCCAGGCCTTTCTTCCTAATCTGTTTTAGGAAAACTAAAACCTGTCCACCATGGGTGAACTTGCTGGTATTCGAAATACTGGTGGCATAGCTTCTAGCATTGTAGCCACATGTAAGACACTACAGTATGACAAATAGAAAGGGTGATGGATATATGTTCACAGACAATAAATCTTTGTTTTCTCAGAAAGTTGCTTTAAATGCACATCCGTAAGTCCTATGGTCTGCAGAGTAAGAACAAGGACTCAAAAAATAAAAATACTCCAAAATAATGTTATTAGTAAATAAAGGGAGACATACTCCTTCAGGGACCAGAACTTTCAAGATCACTATCCAGAACACTTTGTAGTGTTAAGGTATCTGGGAAGGTTGTTTGGCAGCAAGTCCAAGGAAAGGGAGGTAGAGAGGCTGTGTCAGAAGAGTTTCCTGTCTAGTTAGCAGTATATGATACACACAGGTTCTCCAACCCAGGAAAACCAACCAAATTATTTGTCTTCTAATTCTTCTTCTGTTTACATATTTTGCCTAGGACATACTTACTTGGTTCCAACTTCTCTCATGCTAACATACATAACTGGACACACACAATTGGACCAACTTGATTGGTTACTATTTCAAATATGTACCAGGTTTTCTTGACTGTATCACTGATAAATTCTGCAGTCACTTTTACCTGTCTGTTCCTAAAAGCCACAAAATCTACACTATCTGGCATACAGTTTTAAAGCTGTACCATTTTTCTTATTTAAAAAAAAAAAAATCAACTTTGAGTTTTTAATGTTTTATGTTTTAACATTAATGTTTTAATGTTAATGTTACATACCTAAAAAAAGCCAAACAGTTCTATGAGCCTTGCTGCATTCCTGATTTCTGCTGCCTAAAAACAACCATTCATGACTCTTTCAACTATTTCTTTTATAGTCTAACCCCAAATTTCGAAATAACATATTTATAATGCTGTTCTTGACTGTTATTTTTTCCATTTGTAGACATTATTTTCCAAAGTCTTAGACTGGGAAGCAATCCCATACTTTCCCTTTCTCTGACACTCTGCCTCTGTATTTTTCTCTTTCTCTCTCACACACACACACTCATAGAGGCACATACGCATGTCTTATCCCCTGGCATCCCCAATATACTTATAATTGCAATTTTTGGTTAAATCAATATCCAGGGTTCAAATCATTATTGCTTATAGCTGATTACACTTATTGCTTTCACTCATTTTTTTTTTTTTTCTTCACTTTCTTATTTTTCTGTCTCCATGTCTAATTATGTATATACCTTTCTGCAAATATGGAAAATTCCTTTCCTTGGAATGCCATGAAAAATGCATGCTACCTAACTACCCTGAACTACAGTTTTGATAAGCCCACCGTTACCGGACAGTGTTGTTGTTGTTAAGTGCCGTCGAGTCGGTTACGACCCATAGCGACCCTGTACAGGGTTTTCAAGGCTGTAAGTTTTTATGGGAGCAGAAAGCCTCATCTTTTTCCCGTGGAGTGGCTGGTAGTTTTGAACTGCTGACCTTAAGGTTTGCAGCCTGATTCTTAACCTCTATGCTACCAGAGCAAGAAGGGACTGGATTACAAGCTTTAGCAGAAAAGGGCCTGGAAACTTCACTAGAGTCATCTTCTACGACCACATTTCTGCTCATTCTCTTACAAAGGAAGGGCAATTTTGTGAGAGTTTTGATGAGAAATCATTAAGCATCCACTTTACAATCCTAATTTGGTGACTTCTGACTTCTTTTTGTTTGGTAATGTTAAAAAAAAAATCTTAAAAGAGCATCTATTTTTCTTCAGTTAGCAATGTTAAAAAAGACTACATTGGCATGGTTAAAGTTCCAGGACCCTCAGTTCTTTGGGGATGGATGAAATGGCTAGTCTCATCCCTTACAAAAGGGTCTCAGCCTTCATGGAGCTTATTGAAAAAAAAAAAAGTAAAAGGTTTGTATTTGAATTTTTATCTTTTAATCCCATTTTCCACAAACTTTTTAAAAGTCCCTTCATATATATGTTCAAACTGGACCCTTGAACTTCATTCTGAGTATACTCTTTGTACTTCAATCTCACTTGTTTGGAAATAATGCAAACATACTTAATTAAGGTTCAGCAATGTTTTATATTTGTTACAAACATTATCATCAATATCTGAGAGAAAAACGAGAATCATTCTGATTGTGTGAACAAATCAAACTAACAATTGCATGGTTTGAGACTTACCAACTTTATAATGTATACAGCCTTCCAAATCCCCAACAGTTATCCAGCCTTGTTTCTTTTCCACTTCTGGGTCATTATGTAATATTCTGTTTCTTAACCATGAAAGATAGTAAACTCGTAGCTTATTCTTCTTTCCTGTTGAAAGAAAAGAGTTTTAATTTCAAGCTTGCTGAGATAGCCTTTTCTTATCTTCCTTACCTCCATTTTATGTAATAGATTTGTTGTTGTTATGAAGTGCCATCAAATCAGTTCCAACCCATGGCGACCCCATATAGGGTTTCCAAGGAGTGACTGGTGAGCCTGACCCACCTACCTTGTGGTTCAAACTGACCTTGCAGTCCAGTGCATTAACCCACAGTGCCACACCAGGACTTCAATTAATAGAAATATTTAATTAATTATTTTAGTGTGAAGGAATAATATAACCAGTGTTTTCCAGTACATTCCACATCACACTATATTTGCCAGGACTAATAGTTAAAACAACTCTAAGTATTTTGGACAAACCATCATTTTGCAATTTGTTTTTTGGTTTCAGGTAGCTTCTTAATTAAGTTTGTTGCTGTGGCATACCATTGAATTGATTCTGAGTCATAACAACCCTATAGAACAGAGGACAATTGCCCCTAGGGTTTCCTCAGCTGTAAACTTTATGGGAGCAGATCATCAGGTCTTCTGTCCTGTGTGGGTTTGAACCGCTGATCTTTTGGTTGGCAGCTTAGTGCTTAAACATTATACCAACAGGACTCCTTCTTACTTAAGTAATGTGCTATTATTCCTTCTTCCCAGGGCAAAGGACAGCATTTGCTGATCTCAGTAAGACATAATTCTGCAACAGTGGTTGACAAGAGTTCCAGGATATGCAAATCTAATTACATGAAGAAGTGTTGATAAGCAGAGATTTCAGCATAGTTACATCTGACTGCTTTATCCTCAGCCTCTACCCCAACAGCAGGGGCTAACAGAGTCACTTATTCCTTCCTCTTTGATTTTACAGATGGAAGGTGGCTGGAGATTTTACTTAACTGTTAAAGGAATTTTAAAAGGATACAAGATAAACAATTCAGTGCAGGTGGTCTGGGTTCAGAAAACACTAGACAAGTTTAGTGCATTTAGTTCCACCGAAAGAAAAGCAAAACAAAAATACGAAAGGACAGAAGATGTGTACTTGAAAACAAAACAAAACTTAAACATTCCCTTTAACAAAGGTATTCTGGTGTAAAGGATTCTCACAAGATAATAAGAAAACATTACAGACTACACAAGAAACAACATTTTATATAGTCCAATAAATTATCTGAGAACCAGATAAGAAAAGTAAGAGTAATGCCCACTGGAGTGCCTCTTCCTAAGCAATTAGACATTTAGGACTGGGGTTTTACATCTGTTTAATTTCTCTCAGGTGTCAAAAGATAAGGTACATTATTAGAAGAGAATTCACCAAAGCATTGCACACTGGATTTGACAATAGAGTGCATTCATGACTTACATTAAAAGAGTCAGTGTGCAGCCACTATTCACTTTTGTACTGAAAACCCAGACCATGCACTAATGACAGTATCTGGGACAGGCAGGAGGACCAGTGTTTCCCCTTTCTATGCCAGTGTAGGAGACTTCAAGACATCTTTGGCTTCTATATTCATTTTCTCTTTTCCTCATCTGTGCCTCGTGATAAGAGGAAATGGTTGCACTCTTAAGAATAGGGACATGTCACTAACAACAAAATGAAGCCCGAACATGACTTTTCAGGGAGCATTTCCACTTATAGGAGGTGACTGGCAGATGCATGGCTTTAATTCTGACTTGCTAGCATAGCAATCAAAAAAGCAATTAACCAGAACAAAGGACAAGAAAGGATTATTCTCCTCATTTGGGGAGAATAAAGAAAGATGATACTCTACGCAGTCAATAGGAAGGTAAAAGGTAGAGTGAAGTGTAGCACCAAGTGAAGGCATCTTCTCAAAATAGAAACATGGCTGGAAAGCTGAACTTTCTTCAAAGTTCAGCCCCATCGCCTGGTGTTGTCTCTTTGTGAAACAACGGCTGACTGTGGGGTCATGGATGTCAATCTTGGCTGCACATTGGAAACATCATGGTAGCTACTATACTCTGAGAGTCTGAACTACTACTCTGGGGATGCAGCCTGGACTGTCACATCTCCACAAGCAGGAAGAAAAACAACCAAAGAAAACCCTAAGGATTATGAAGACCTGATAGTCTGGGCCTGACCTTGTGACTATTGTAAGGTCGGGCAGTGTTTGGGGCTGTTATGTGAGATGTCACATGAGCTGATGATTGGCTTGATAGCAGCTAACAACAGCTAGGTGGCCCTAATGTGTGGTTGGTACAGTGGATGGAAAAAATCTTTCTTTTTAATAACCATTGATTTTTTTTTTCAGGTTACATTTCTAACTGATAATGATAAAGCCTTCATTTTCATCTCCATGATTTGTTAAAATTCTTTTTGCGAACCAGAAAATTGCAGAATTTAGCAGTATTAACTCTCACACTCAAATCTCTCTGCAGACTCAATCACCTGGTGTGCCAGCTGAACTTGGCAAAACATCAGTGGACTACAGTAAGTGCTGTTCTTGTGAGCAAAGAGAAATTCCTGTTTTATAAAATTCTCCTTTCCCAGACTGTAAAATGGTACAAACACTGTGAAAAATGGGATGGTGCCTCCTCAAAAAGTTAGAAACACTATTACCATATGACCCAGCAATCCCTCTAATTAGTATATGTCCACAAGATATAAAAGCCATGACATGAGTAGATACATGCACACTCATGTTCATCCCAGCACTATTTACAATAGTAAAAAGATAGAGACAGTCTAAATGCCCATCAATTGAAGGGAGAATGGATAAATCAACTTTGGTACATACACACAATGGAATACTATGTAACACTGAAGAATAATGAATCTGCATGACATGGATGAACCTGGAGAACATTATGCTGAGTGAAATTAGTCAATCATAAAAGGACAAATACTGTATAAGACCACTATTGTAAAAACTCATGAAACGGTTTTTAATGCTAAAACAAACATTCTTTTATGGTTACCAGGGGTGGGAGGGAAGGAAGAATAATTTACAGGCTAGAGGGTAGACATATGTTAACTTGGGTGAGGGGGAAGACAATATACAAGACAGAGGTTGCAGAAGAATAGTGAAGACACAGGGAAGAATGCAAGAGTTCAATGGGATAGAGGTAAATACTGTGATATACACAATCCTGCAACAATCGTGTTATACAGGCTGAACAGGCATGGAAGGGAGAGTGGGAGTATACCCACAAACATATAAGGGTTTGACAGAGGATGTCCGTACATAGGTATTTACCTTTGCTGAAAACACACCTATGAGTGTGGTGGAGCATAAAGGGGACAAAATGATGAAAACTTGGACATCGCCAAATACCTTGAGGCAATGAGAGTTGATGGGCCTATGGTCCCAGGACCATAGTCTCTGGGACACATTTGTCAGTTGGCTTAACATAGTCCAGAAAGATAATGTTCTACATCCTACTTTGGTGAACAATGATTGGGATATTAAAAGCTCATTAATGGTCATTTAAAGTCTAACTATTGGTTTCTTGATGTGCAGAAGAAAGAAGAGTGATGAAAATTGAAGACATGTGGAATCAATTAGTCAAATGTACCAATGGAACACATGAACGACAGTCTCCACAACTCTGAGACCAGAAGAAGTAGATGGTGCCCGGCTACCACTCCCAACTGCTCTGAAAGGGATCACATAAGCAAGTAGAGAGGGAAGAAATGTGGAACAAAACTCAAAATTATAAAAAAGACCATGCTCACTTGTCAGAAAGAGACGGGAGGAACTTGAGACTATGATCTTTGTCTACCCTTCAGGTCTAGAAAGGAACTCATCCTTGTGGTCCAATTTTCAATCAAGTGGTGCTAGGTATACAGTGGAGGCCAACAACACAAGTAAGATACGCTCACTATAGAATGGTCAACCATTCAAGATCAAAAGGACAACATTTACTAGGGATAAGGTTCAGTGGGGTTAGGAAGGAGGGTGGAATGGAAATAGAAATCACAGGGAGTACTTGGGATAATTGTTGTTACATGGAGGCGATTGCAATCATTGAGATGAAACAAAGTGTGTGATTTGTTGGATATAAAATGGATGATTTTTTTCTGTAAACCTTCACTTAATTCATCGTAAAAAGTTTAAAACAATAAAGTAATCCCCACTCTCAGAGGTCTACATTCTGATTTCTCTATCGGAAAGTAGATAGTAATGACTGGCACTCTGACCCCTTAAAGAGATCCTTGTTGAATTCTGCCAGAGGTTAAAGGCTTATCAATACACTGTCTTTGTGATTATGTCTCTGTCCAATTCAGATTTAATGCAGAGTTGAGACACTTTCCTTGGGAGGTCAGTTTCCACGTAGTAAAATGGGATGGTCTTGCTCTGGCTATATAGCTATAATTTTCACATTACTTGTTAGCTGGGTCAGACAGAACTCACCATTTCTTCAGAAACAAGGTGATTACCTCTCCCACCTGTGCAGACCTCAGTCATCCTAGAAACATACCTGATATGGTCACAAGGACATTCAGTCCCTCTAGCACATCCATCTGCTGAAATCGCCTCCGGTTGATCAGATTATAGACTTTGCCTTGCCCACTTCGGTCCAAAAGCATCAGGCCATTTTCCGTTCCCACGAGGAGGTTTACACCTGAAAATTTAAGAAGCACCCCAACAATGATTTTTTTAATTGGCTTTAATCTTCTGCATCTTGGGACCCCATAAAACTTAGGAAACTGTGCCTCATAAATACGAATTAATGAGCAAACAGCAACTAAGCAGGGAGCAGAGAAGTAGACGATCTGACACAGTAATTAAATCACTGTCCCTGCAGTAATGAAAATTTCCAGTTTCCTTTATAAACTGGTAGCAACATACATTACATCCAGGCATTTACTACCACGTATAGAAAAATCCCTCTCAAGAGGAGCCTTAGCAGAGATGTGAAGTTAGCACAATTTGCCTTTATTCCTTTCCTGTAACAACCACCTTTTTTTTGGCTCTTTCAGTAAATACCATCCTTCTCAATCCTATTTAGTTCTAGCCTACCCACCTTCAACATATAATGCTGTTGTTAAGTGCAGTCTGACTCACAGTGACCTTGTATAGGGTTTCTGAGGAGTGGCTGGTGGGTTTGAGCTGCCGACCTTGTGGTTTGCAGTCCAGTGCTGATCCTCCAGCGCCACACCAGGAGTCCAGTAATCACCATATAACAGAGTTCCCCATTTCCAAATCCCACTGGGAAAAAACCCTTCCTCTTCCTCACACCAAAACTTACTGTCTGATGTCCCATGTCCTCAAGCCTCTGCTCTCTGTTAAGGAACTAATGGACCAATTCAAACGAAGGTTTACTAGCCTGAGAACCATAGAACTAGTGACTGCATGGAGCTCTGCAGATATAGAAATCGAGTCCAGCCTGTATCCTAGTGCAGTATTCCCCATTACAAAAGCTCTGGAGAACTACAATCCTAAAAAAGTCATCTTTAGGGAAATCACACACACACATTGAGAATTACACTGTACAATGGGCTGTATTCATGATTATGGACTCTTCCACTTGTTATCCTTCTACCTCTGTGCCACATAAATATATCAACTCCTGCTTCAACTTGCCAACCCTTTAGATAGTCAAAGATAGCCATATTATCTTCTTTCCATCTGTCTTTCTCCAGAGGACAGAGTCTCACTCAGTCCTCTCCATTACCTCATATGAAACAGCTTCCAGGCATCTCACTTTCCCCTGGTCATCCCTCAAGTGCTCTAAACTAAGCAAAGGATTTTAGATGAGTACAGAAAGGTCGTGTCCTTCCTTGATCTGTATGTGACATTTATAGTAACCCAAACAGTGATTTGATAGAATCACATCATATCTATGCAGAGTTTGGGGTCAGCCAAAACCCGCAGATCTTTTTAGTAAAAAGTGCAGATGTAACATGTTTTGAGCTAAACCTAAGACTCACCATCTGTTGTAGTTTCCAAGTTTATTATGATACTGCTACCTGCATGGTTTAGGAGCTCTGGTAGTGTATTGGTTACGAATTGGGCTGCTAACCTCAGGGTCAGCAGTTCAAAACTACCAGCTGTTACATGGGAGAAAGATGAGGCTTTCCGCTCCCATAAAGATTGACAGCCTCGGAAACCCTGTAAAGGGTCGCTATGAGTCGGAACCGACTCCACGGCACATAACTGTAATTCACATAAACACGCTCAACTGGTTTTTCAGCTGTGAATTGGATGTAATGCTATTCTGCCCCATGCAAGGTGTTGATGGGATCACAGATCCAGAACATGGACATGCTATATAGTGCCAGGCACAGAGTGGGTGTGGTAAGTGGTTCTGTTGGTGGCTTTAGTCCATTACTGTTACATAACAACTGTTTCTGACTCTGATCCTGGCCCCCTGGGTAGTAGGGCATTAGCTTTTAGTATTTACAGAATTGCTCTCAGTCTCTCCCAAGGTCACAAGAGTCCCAAGTGAGGCAGCTAACACCACATATCAGCCAGTGTTCGTCTGATAGTAAGACCCACAGGCTTTTAATGTTTGAGAGGTGGTTCATTAAAAAGCACTGACTTACCCCACAGTGCTGCACAAAGGATTTCTGAGTTGAATCGTTTCTTGTACTTTCTGATTTCTGGAGTGTCACTATGAGGCCGAATGTTGGTTGGATTTACGTTTACCACTGAAATCTTTCTTGCTTCATTGAGTTTGGCCTGCTCTTGCCTAAGAAGTTCGCTAGTAAACAGAGCTTTGAGAAAAAGAATCAGAGAGGTCAGTGGCATCTTAAAAGATAACCTATGGAGATGTGGAAAAGGGGTTTCAAAACACTGGGATGTCTCCCTGTTTAGCAAGCATGACAGTAAAGGCAAAGCATCTTGGGAGGTATCTACATTTCATGGTCTGGTCTTATTTTTAGTAGAATAAATTTTAAGTCATTCATGGACTCATTCATAGAAAAACACAGTATTTTACCCATTAGCAAAAACATTCTTAATAGACATTACTTGGGTGGTTTAGAAAACTAATTATTAATCTTACAGAATTAAGCACACCATCCCCAGCTCCTATAAGATATGCAGTCAGATTTACTTCCCCCAAATACCACATTAGCACTTGACACACTGACCTAAGCTGGCTTTGATGATTAGTGAGTTGTAGAAATCTAGAAAGCAAAATGTTCCTCTAAATCAGACAGACCTCTGCAGTGGAAAGCACACACCTAGAACTCAACACAGGCCAACAAGCACTTATAGAGTGCCTACTGCGTGCATAGCATTGTACCCAGAAATTGCTGTTGAGACAAATGTGGTGAGTTCAGAGATCTCTGAGAAACAACTTTTTCTAGGGTCTCTGGATACTTCTGGACTCCTACCATAAACAAAAAAGAAGAGATTTGGGGGAGGGGAAGACATTTTGAGGATTCCTACAAAAAACAATACTAAACTTCCCTGTAACACAGGGCCTAAGTAAGTAGTAAATGCTTTTACAACTGAACTGATGACTGATTTCCTTACCAGGCTCCACCAGAAAGGGAAATCACCTTCTAGCTTACCTGCTGCTGCAGATTCTTCATCCTCTTCGTCTTCATCAGTGGGAGATGTCTGGTATACTCTCGGATCCACAAAGGGGGTGAAGGAGGCTTTGGTGCTGCTCCCCATGCCATACTAATCAATAAGCAAGAAAATTCAGAAAAGCTGATGAATATGAGTACTGTGGGGGCACAAAGTGCTAGTTATCCTCTATTCCAGCTTTACAGTGATTACAGACTCCTCAGCATATCCAGCGGTTCACATTCTAACCTCCTGGTCAAAGTGCCTGCCTCTTTCCTGCATCTCCTGCTGCAATTGCTACTCACTGGCTTTTGTGCATTTCAGGGGGTCTCATTAATTGTCGGACTGTAGGAGGTACGGTGACTAATTACTCTTAGACTTCTATGTGGTACTTTAATACTATGGAGACTGAATAAACTTAGTTTAATAGAATTTATAAGCTTTTCTTTTTAACTTGCATTGGTTTCATATATTTGTGTCTTTTGTTTCCTCAGTTTTCTTGAAGGAACAGTGTATTTGTCATGTTCAGAGTTTTGAGGAGACCTCGTGTGGCACTGAATCACTGTGTAGGGTTGCTGGAGTCCTGGTGTGGCGCTGTAGGATGAACAATTTGGTCCTTCGAAACCCTATACAGGATCACTATGGTTTGAACCAACTTGACAGGACTTAATAACATATAATAGACATCTGTGGGTTAATGTGGGGAACCGACCCGATGACATTCAACAACAACAACAATAAGCTATCTACAAAGTTGGAGCTTTGACTTCTTAGGTATTGCTGTTGTTGTTAAGTGCCACTGAGTCGGTTCTGACCCAAAGTGACCCTATATAGGGTTTTCAAGGAGCAGCTAGTGAGCTTGAACTGCTGACCTTGTGGTTCAAACCAACTTTGCAGTCCATCGCATTAATGTACACTTAACAACAGGATTATAGGTTACTAACCAGAGAATCTCATCCTCTCTATTTCTGGTTTGTTCACCAAATAACACAACCTCAGTTATGTGACATGCCTAGGAGGTGCAGCCCCAAGCTCTACCATCTCAAATTCACTACCTTCTAGTGATTTCATTCATAGTAAGTCTATAGGGCAGGGTAGAATGGCTCCTAGCATAGGATTTCTTTCATGGAGGAGCAACTGGTTGGCTCAAACTGCTCACCTTTTAATTAGCAACGTAATGTTTAACCAGCTGGGTCATCAGGGCACCTCTCCCACCTCAGGTACTATACATTTAGTGTAATAATAGTGATTGCAGCTACCCCTCTTTGATGGGCTCTGGTGTGGCACAGTAGGATAGGCACTGGACTGCTAACTGCAGTTCCAACCCACCAGCTACTGTTGGAAGCACTACGCAGGACTTGGTGGCACACAACACTCCTCTATGAGTGTGCTTCATGCACCTACTATGTTCTGCATTCAAATATAGTTCTACACTTTTTCTACCTGTGAAACTTATTTTACTCTGATAAATACTATCAATGGAGTCCTAGTGTGGCACTGTATGATAGGCACTCAACCACAAGACTGGTTTGAACCACAAGGTCTGAGGTTCAAACTCACCATCCTCTCCCTGGAAACCCTATGCAGGGTCACTATGAGTCAGAACTGACTTGATGACACTTAATGACAAGATATCTAAGATGACAGTGGTGATAGAGTTTGTCTCTTTAAGTAATGGCACTCATACAGACACAATTGGCAATGGATGAAGTAAGCACATACAAACAGCACACTTCATCCCGAACATACTCAATGCAAGACAGTCTGTCTTTGGGGCCTTTAGAACCTTCTAGTGTGGCCTAGTGATGTGTTAGTGTTGGTTAAAAAAGATGTAACATCTTCAATTTTGTGGTGATTTCATATAGGGACTGCAATATTTTCCTCCCTAAGACAGTTTCCTTAAAAAGTTAACTATACAGCAGTGATCTATGAGGAGACTTATGGATAGAAACATAGGCTGAATGTGTGTGGGAAGAAGAGTGGAATTATGTTGTTGCTGTTGTGAGCTGCTGAGTCAGTTCCAACTCACAGTGACCCTGTATAGGGTTTCTGGGGAATTGTTGGTGAATTTGAACTGCCAACCTTGTGGTTAGCAGTCCAGTGTTTATCCTACAGCACCACAACAGGACACTAATATAAGTTTTACAAAGGAAGAATATCTGTACATGTTATTTAAATTTGCTGCAAATGTATCCATGAATGTGGTAGAGCACATAAGGGGCAAAGTATGAAAACTCAGACATAACCAAATACCTTGAGGAAATGAGTTCCTGGTCCTGGAGGTCTCAGGACAATACTCTCAAGGAACACCAAGGTCAATTAGCATAACACAGTCTACAAAGACAATGTTCTACACCCTATTCTGGTGAGTAGTGACTGGGGTCTTGAAAGCTCATAAATGGCCATGTAAGGTACAACTAGTGGAAAGAAGAGTGATGAAAACTGAAGATCCATGGAAACAATTAGTCCAATGGAATAATGGACAACAGCAACGTCAATTTCCATGACTGAGACTAGAAGAATTAGATGATGCCTGGTTACTGCTATCAACTGTTCTGAAAGGGCTCACATTAGAAGGTCTTGGATAGAGTGGGAGACACATGTGGGACAAAACTCAGAATTATAAAAAATTATTGCGTTTACTGGTTGGATAGAGACGGTGGCACTTCTCCTCATTTGGGCCTGGAAATGAACTAACTCTCATAACTCAATTTCCAGCCAAACAATAGACAAGCCAGTAAAAGGGAACAATGACACTAGGGAAGTATGAACTCTTGAAAATAATCAACCATTTAGATCAAAAGTGCAGCATTTGCCCAAGGAACAAATTCTGAAGGGTTAAGAATGGAGGAGGAAAGGAAACAAGAAATAGGGAGAAAGTGGAATATGTGATGTTACACTGTAGAGATTGCAATCATTAAGATGAAACAAAATGTGTTTGAATTGTTGAATGTAAAGCTGCTAACTTGTCTGTCAGTTTGTCATACTGTGGTGGCTTGTGTGTTGCTGTAGTTCTGGAAACTACGCCATGGGTATTTTAGATACCAGGAGGATCACCCATGGTAGACAGGTTTCAGCTTAGCTTCCAGATGAAGATAGACTAGGAAGAAGGAGAGTCGGAGTACTCCCAAATATTTAGTCACTGAAATTCTTATAAATAACAGTGGAAGGGACACTGTCAGCACCAGAATATTGAATATTGAAACAGGATGAAGAGCATGAGAATAATATCAGATACAGTGCCAGAACGGAGCCACTCAGGTTGGGAGGCACTCAAAATTTGACTGTGAAAGAGCTGTCTTGTCAAAGTAGAGTTGACCACAATGACACAAATGGAGTAAAGCCTTCAGGACCTTCATTTGCTGATGGAGCAAAACTCAAAATGAAGAGAAACAGCTGCAAACATCCACTGATAATCAGAACGTGGAATGTACGAAGTATGAATCTAGGAAAATTGGAAGTTGTCAGAAATGAAAAGGACACATAAACATCCATATCCTAGGCATTAGTGAGCTGAAATAGACTGTTATTGGCAATTCTGAATTTGACAATCAAATTGTTTACTATGCTGGAAATGACAAGTTGAAGAGAAATGGCATCACATTCATCATCAAAAAGAACATATCAAGATCTGTCTTGAAGTACAACACTGTCTGTGATAGGATAATATCCATGCACCTACAAGGAAAACCAGTTAATACCACTATTATTCAAATTTATGCACCAATCACTAAAGTCAGTGATGATGAAATGGAAGAATTCTACCAACTTCTTCAGTCTGAATTTGAGCCAACAGACAATCAAGATGTACTGATAATTACTAGTGACTGGAAAGCAAAGGTTGGAAACAAAGAGGAAGGATCAGTAGTTGGAAAA